CATACAACACCTCATGATACTAGGTTTTTATGCCTATAAATTTATTACCCTAACCATATTAAGATAATAATGGAAATAAGTTTGACTTTTGATTGATCAAAGTTGACTTTTATTAGAATAAAATTTTCGGGTTGTCACATCATCCCCCTGCTAAAGGGAATTTTGTCTCGAAATTAAATCGAAGAGATACAAATGGACGAATGTGAAAGATACGGATACTCATTTTCATTCGATCCTCCCGTTCTTAAGTGAATTCAGGTCCTCACTTTGCATTTTAGCGGACCTTCACTATCGGGATACGGTTTTATTTTTTCCTCTGGGCTCCACTGTCTAGGATTTCTACGAATTCTCCCACAAGGTTGAGGCTCTCGTTTACCTCGATCTAATCGAGTGGGATAACAAGAGTCTCGTCGGATAGACACTTTTTCAAGTTTAAGGCGTGGAAGGTAGGGTGTATTTTATTGAATTCTCGAGGTAGTCGGGGTCTATAAGCTATTGGACCAAATCTAGTAAGAATCTCGAATGGTCCTATATACCTTGGATTTAGTATTCCACGCTTTCCGAAGCGTATCATGCCCTGCCAGGGTGAGACCTTCATATGACGTGGTCACCAACCTGGAATTCCAAGGGTTTTCTCCTATCGAAGTCATAACTTTTATGTCTGACTCTGGAAGCTTTACGTCGCTCCAGGATTCGTACTCTCTTCTCGGTAGTTTCTCGGATGATTTCCGGACCAGCGAGGGTGCTGTCTGGAATTTGACCTCTAGGTCGTTGCATGTCATCTACTAGACCAGCGCATAGGGGATCTGCACTTGTGACCATAGAGGGCTTAGAATGGAACAACTTTAATGCTAGTATGGTAAGGAACTTGACTAGATGGCAAATGGGTATCCTATGCTTTACTAAAGTCGATCACATATGCTCTCGGAATGACTTCTAATGTTTGAATCGTTCTCTCATCCTATCTGTCGGTTTGTGGACGGTAGGCTATTCCATGTCTAGCCTAGTCCTCAGAGATTTCTAAAGTGACTGCTTGAATCATGAGGTGATTCTACTATCTCGATCGGAGATAACATGTATTGGAATACCGTGCAGTCTAACTAATCTTTCAGACACACTTTCTAGTTAGCTTCTCTATCTTGCCTGCTTCTTTAAAGTTGCAGGAAGTGTGCGGACTTGGTTAATTTGTCGACGATTCACCAAAATGGTATCAAGTCCACCCGTTGTCTTGGGTAACTTGATTATGAAACCCATTGATCCACTCTGACTCCCACTCAAGTATTTCTGGTTGTTCATAGTAAGCCTGCGGGCTTTTGATATTCTACTTTTAACTTTGGCGCAGGTAAGACACTTGCCCACAAAGATAGCAATATCTGTTTTCATGTCAGGCCACTAATATAACCTTTTGAGATCTAGATACCTCTTGTTTGAATTTAGATGAACTGAGTATCGAGTATTGTGTGCTTTATCTATGACAATGTCTCCGAAGCCACCGAATTTTGGTGTTCAGCTCCGATCCATGAGGTATAAGATTTCGTCACCCTTGACTTCTAAGTTCTTATCCATCCCTCTCAGGGTTTCACCTGTCACATTTCCAGGTTTCAAGGCTTCCTGCCGAGCCACCTTAATTTGTGTGGACAGATGTGAATGGATTGTCATAGTCAATGATTTGACTCTACGACCTGAGTACTCTTTCCGACTAAGGGCGTCAGCTACTACATTGGCTTTACTGGGATGATAACGAATTTCGCATTCGTTGTCATTTAGTAACTCGACCCTCCGTCGTTATCTCATGTTGAGCTCCTTCTGATCGAATATATGATGAAGGATTTTGCTTTGAAGTTCATGGGTAAGACTCATACTTGGCTCGTCCATCATCACCTCATGTATACGAGTCGTATATAATTAATATTGACAAGACGTTCGGATGGGTGGCTCTACCCCAAGTCCACAACCAGACAAGGAACAGAAGATAGGGCAGAATCACACAACCTAAATCTTGTTGAGTCTAAATTATATATCATCCTTGCGTATACACTTAGTAGTGATAGGTTAACCTAATAAGTTCTTAGTCTCTATTCTCGAACTTGACTTGCGGTACTAGTGGTCTTCATATGAGATCTATTGGGGATACTTCGGGTGGTTACTTTCTTTAGTGCTTTTCGCTTCAAGTTTCCTATCTACTGAGTAGGCTAGAAGGGCGTGGTACCCCTCGCATGGGTACTTCTAAAGTTTTGAAGCGAGAGACGAAGAACTCATGGGTACTTACAAATAAGGGTGTTAGAAGCAAAGATGGAGGGTTGCCTGCTGTTCACGGCCAGACTGTGTGTTCACGGCCCAAGAACACTTGGTGTTCTTGAGTTCACGACCCAATCTAGGTGTTCACGGTCCAAGAATCTTGACAAATTATGATGAATCAAGGTTGAAATCAAGAGAGTTCCATATGTATAACAAGAAGGAAGATGCTTCTTATGATCTTGAGGAGAGAGGAGGGTTTTAGGCTGATGATACTTGAGAGAGAATGCTTGAGTTCACGGCCAGAAGTGAAGAAATGAAGATAAAATCGATCACACACACACACACACACACACACACACATATATATATATATATATATATATATATATATATATATATATATATATATATATATATATAATAGGGAAGAGTTCACGGCCGAAGCAGGGTTCACGGCTCCGAAGTGATCATGGCCGAAGAGTTCACGGTCCGAGGGTTTGCGGCCCATGTTTGCGGTCGTGAACCTCGCATGAAGGAGGGTTTACGGTTCGAAGTTTTTGGCCACACATGGGTTCTCGGTTCAACTTGTTTCACTTCTTAAACATACAACACCTCATGATACTAGGTTTTTATACCTATAAATTTATTACCCTAACTATATTAAGATAATAATGGAAATAAGTTTCACTTTTGATTGATCAAAGTTGACGTTTATTAGAATAAAATTTTCGGGTTGTCACAGTACGTCATTGCCGAGAACGAGGTTGAGTTACGACGCTTAACAAAGTTTTGGAGACATATAAGCAACGAAGATGTTGTAAAACTTTTCCTATATGATCTAGAGGTGGTTCCGCCTCAAGTGAAGATTAGTGGTTTATCTTCTAAAGGGTCATGAAAAGGGTTTATAGCGCATGACCATATTAGCGCTCAGGGAAAACACAAACACGACTTGTGATGTGTGGGGGTAAACCGGAACGATCATAAGGTTCATGGTTTAAACCTATAAGGATACCATCGAATTGGTCTCTCCTTGTTTGTTCTCATTAAACTAGGGTTTAATCTTCGTAACACCCAAGTGACATCATCTGTCTGAGTGAAAGGAAACTTTCCAACTTGGTGGGGATTGTTGAAAATTATAGAGGAAATGTTGCAAGTTGGTAAGTTTCCTCTATCCCACATTGGTGGGGGAAGAAACTTTTAATGAGTTTATAAGCTTATTCCCTTGATAGGCCACCAAAGGCTTTAGTGGATCAAAGGAATGGGCCAAGCCCACGCGCGCGCCTAGCCTAGCCTAGCACTAGCCGACGCCGCGAGTGCGCGAAATCGCACGACGCATTCGGTCACTGGGAGCTGAGGAGCTTTTATTTTTGACGAGTTTGGGTCAAGCCGGTTTGACCGATCCAGTCAAATGGTTGACCGCTGTTGACTTCGAGGAGGACGAGTCGGGATATTCTGGAAGGATCAGGAAACAGATTTCTTGGAGAGCAAGTCGTCGCCCTAGGGTTTCTAGGGGCCGGCCTATGAGGGCCCGTTTCATGCCTTCTAGGGTTTCAACACCTATAAATTTTGCTCCCTAGGAACCGAATTGACCACTCATGAAAATCGAAGCTCTCTCCCTCTTTCTGCATTTTTTCTTCCAGTTTCCGAGTATTCAGTTTGTGTTTATCGATTTCCAGTGCTGTTGGAAAATCGATAGATCTGCATTAAATCCTAGGGTTTTACTCTGTTGCTTACAGCCAGTAGAAGCGAAATAAAAACCTTTAAGGATAGGAGTCCGATCCGTGCAGTTATTTCAAGTTCAAGATCAGCCATCAACATGCCGTTTTTACTTTTCTGTCTTGCGTTTAACTTCGTCCAACAACATGACAATCTTCTTCTACCTTTCTTATAATCAGATCTAATCGAGAAGGATTGATCTCGTTTCTGGACGAAACTTGGTAATCATAATAATAATAATTGGATCTTTTATTCGCATCTAATCAACATATAATTCTCAATATTATTTTTCGGTTTCCTTACGCGTCTATTAGTTTGATTTTCAACGGTTCCAAATGCCAACAAATACACAAAGTATTTAAATATACAATGAACCAAATTAGGTTAATATACACAAACTTATGATCATTTGATGGACTATAACCTAAACATGGTGTAGGGTTTATTTTAAAAAGTCTAGGTGTTGCGATGTCGTTAAAAGTGACATGTCATGATCTTTCAATGCAACAATCGGAGATGATAGGAAAATGTTAGAAGAGGAATGCATCAATATGAAGTAAAGAGTGTTAAGCTTTTGGTTTTGACTTGAGCACAAAAACTTACGCTTGCATAACATGAGTACATGAACATATTTGCATGTTATTTCTACAATTTCCTATCAAAATAAAAGATTCTAGATCTAATAATATATATAACAAAGTTGAAAAGAAGATACGTTGATGATTACTAGATATCTAAATCAATAAAAAGATTATCAAATCGACCTAAGATATTTTCTTTATCAATAATGTTTTTTTTACTATTCTAGAAACTTCAATAGTTGAATAGTGTTCTTTTCTTTTTGTCATAGTGGTCAATTCCCCACCACCACGTTTATTTTTATCTAGAAACAAACCCTTCATAGTTTTGTTATAATCGCTTATATCATTTTTGATTATTATATATATATATATATATATATATATATATATATATATATATATATATATTTTTTTTTTTTTTTTTTCACAATTATAATATAAAATTCGAAGGCCCCTTCACGCCACCTTGGCACTTCTTCTCCCCTCCGTCGGTTTTCTCTACATTGAAAAATCACTTTCTTCTCTCTCTCTGCAAAATTTCTCTTCCGACTCAGATTCACTGTTGCTAATCGCACAAAATGCACTCAAATCATCTGCTTCTCGAAGAACCTATCAGGATGGCTTCCATCCTCGAGCCTTCTAAAGCTGTTAGTATACCAACTATCTTAATTTTGGTTTATTGATATGTGATAATTTGTCACTTGCATGATGTTTTGCTATTCTTAGATCTATTTTTTTGTTGAAAATTCATGATGTTAATTACTGTTGTAGAGTTTTTTCCCTGCGATGACCAAAATCGTTGGAACTTTGGGCCCTCGGTCTCGATCTGTTGACGTCATCTCTGGTTGCCTTAAAGCTGGCATGTCTGGTATGGATTTTGCTTCTTAGTTGTTTTCGTTTATATGTTTTTTTGTAGTATTGATTTGAAAATTTGAATTTCTGTTATTGGTTTGAGATTTTTTGTGTTCTTGTTCCTACTCCCTTATTTGCATACGAAGACCTACACTCTGATTTTACTCTGATTTTTGTTGTGAAATCACATCTACTACTTTTCAAAAGCAATATGATATGGTGGAGTTTTACAAAGTCCGATGTAGTAATAACTAATAATTAATCATATTTTTCTACCTTAGAATCCATGTCCATTTTGAAGGCAGAATAGCAATTTGTTCAGTGAGAATTAGTTTTATACTTGTTTGGTATGAGTTCTTTTTAGCGATTTGGCTGTTGTGTGTTCATGGCAGTTGCTAGATTTGATTTTTCATGGGGAGACTGCGACTATCACCAAGAGACTTTGGAGAATCTGAAGGCTGCTGTGAAAAGCACTAAGAAGCTTTGTGCTGTATGTTCCTTTTCCTTCACATCTTATTACCCTGTTCTCATGAAAATCACATTTTGCTGATATGAGAAAAAGTTGCTATTCATTAGCTTTTTGATTCTCTTTAATCATTGTACTTGGATACCTCATGAGAGGCAAATTTGTCCTTGCTTTCATGGATATTTGACCACATCAAATGTTTATAACAATACATTTTATGTTAATTCCAGGTGATGCTGGACACAGTTGGAGCTGAGATGCAGGTTGTGAATAAGAGTGAGAAAGCCATTTCACTTCAACAAGATGATGTTGTCACTTTGACCCCTGATGAAGGCCAAGAAGCTACTTCTCAAGTACTACCCATCAACTTTGCTTGGCTAGCTAAGGTCAGATGCTCTAATTGATTAGTAGTAATGTAATTATGACAAATTCTTTAATTCTGAAAAGATCATGTTGAATCTTGACAATTAACCAAAAAACCAAAAAGTTATTTTGAGCCTTTCTTGAGGACCCTCTGTATTTATGAGTCTGTTTATGTTGTCTTTACAGGCTGTGAAAACAGGAGACACCATTTTCATTGGTCAATATTTGTTCACAGGAAGTGAGACAACCTCTGTTTGGCTGGAGGTAAGGGCAAACATGTCTTTTCTTTTACTGTATCTCATCTAATCCACAATAAACAAAGAAACACATTAAAAAAAGTTTCTGAAAGCAAACAATTTGTTCTGACTTCTGATTTTGGTATGATTTATTTGTCAACTTTTACATGATCAGGTTGATAAAGTTGAAGGGGTTGATGTTGTCTGCAAGATAAAGAATTCTGCAACTCTGGCTGGGGCTTTGTTCACTTTGCATGCTTCTCAAATTCATATTGATCTACCTACTCTGACTGATAAAGATAAAGAGGTGAATTTATATTGTTAATAACTTAATATGATATTATATGAAATATATATGTAATAGACTATTTCAATTTTCAGAATATTAGTACATGGGGAGTTAGAAACAAAATCGACTTTCTCTCATTGTCATACACAAGACATGCAGAAGATGTTCGTGAAGTAAGTTTGCTTTCTTTAATTCTTTTTTTTTTTTACTTTTATTAATGTTTATATTTTCTTGATGATTATGTACTATTCTTTTCTCTTTATATTATAATTTTTAATTATTTGATTTGCAAATGCAGGCACGTGAATTTCTTTCAAAGCTTGGTGATCTTAGTCAAACTCAAATTTTTGCAAAAATTGAAAACGTAGAGGTGAATGATTTTAAATATAAGTTCTTTATCATAATTCATAACTACACTTTGAGATTAAATTAGAGTGTATTTTTTATTTAATTTTTTTCATTTTCTCAACAGGGTTTGACTCATTTTGATGAGATCTTGCAAGAGGCAGATGGTATTATTCTTTCCCGTGGAAATCTTGGAATTGATCTTCCACCAGAGAAAGTAAGTTATTTTATATTTATTGTTTACAACAATTTTTTTTTAAAACTGCATTGTAATCTAGATTCAAATAAAGAGACATAAATTGATAGAGCCTATAAACTGATGAATGTTAAAAATATAATTTAAACAAAAAGAAGAAAAGGTACACCAATATTTTGTTATTCCTGTGTTCATACATCAAAATTCTGTATAATGGTAATTATTTGTCTAGGGTTAAAATGGTCACAAGTTACTTATATAACTGATCATACTATTGGTAAAAAGTAGACTCTAATTAGAAGTTGAGAATCTGAATCTGAAAAATAAGTATTTTAAATATTACATTAAATTAATTTTTTTATGGGTTAATCTCAAAAAAGACCTTATATTTTATGTTTTTTCCAGATTACACCTCAAATTTATTTTTTTGCCTGAAAAAGACCTTGTATTTTTTTCAATTTTTCCGATCTGGACCTTTTAGTCAATTTTTTCCAAAAAAAAATTGTAAAATGTGAGGGTTTTTTTGAGAAAAAACTAAAAAGATTGATGGTTTATTTGGAATCATTTACAAGGCTGAGGGTTTTTTTTTTTTTTTTTTGGAAAAAAAAATACAAAATTGAGGGCTTTTTCGGAAAAAATGAAAAAAATAAAAGGTCTTTTTCAGGCAAAAAATAAATTTGATGTTTAATCCTGAAAAAACACAAAGTATAAGGTCTTTTTTGAGATTAGCCCTTAAATTAATTTTTGTATTCCTAAATTTAAAAATCAGATAAAGAACCATGTTCTTATATATCTATTCACGTGTAAAATTATTTGAAGAATTGTGTTTAAGCTTCTACATTTTAAACTGTACTATGGTGAATCTTAATTTTTTTTTTAATAAAATATGAAATTTAAGGAATAATTTTTTTTTGTAGGTGTTTTTATTCCAGAAAGCAGCTCTTTATAAATGCAATATGGCTGGAAAACCAGCTGTGGTGACACGTGTTGTGGATAGTATGACTGATAATTTAAGACCAACTCGTGCAGAAGCAACTGATGTTGCCAATGCTGTATTAGATGGTGAGTTTCCATTTCCATTCCATTTCTCTCTTGATTCCGGACATTAGACCGGAATCGGAATTCAATTCCATTCCATCGTGGCATTTGTTTGCAAATTGGAATTCACAAAATCGTTTGAGAGATGGATTTCAACATTAAACCCATGGAATTCAACTTCAAGCATTTCCTTCCTTATTAGATATTACTCAGATACCCTTTTATTTTCCATTTTAGAAATTTAGAAAACTTTGGAAAACTGTAAAAATCACTTTTCTAATGTACATACATTTTGGAAAACAGAAAATTTTCATTTTCTTGGAACTTTTTTGAAAAATGAATCAACCAAATGCATTTTCAAATTTCCGTTGAAAACTGGGAAATTTTCCACAACCAAACGCACCCTTAAGTACACATTTTTTTTTTTTAACAAAATTTAGTTTCAAAATTTGTTTTTTAAAAAAATTGCATTCCATCTTGATATGTATGATATATTTTTACCTAAAAATTGTTTTGAAAAAAAAAATTCATGAACAAGAAATTAATAAAACTATAAAAGGGCAATTTAAATATTTTTGTTCATACCTTACAGTTTATTTGAAAATATGTATCTATAAAAACAAAAAAAGATCATTGAAAAAGAATTCTGTCATTTTTCATTATCTATATTCAAAATCGTTTGATAGATATAAAAATAAAACCAAAATAGAAAAATACAAAAGGAATTCCATTCCATTTCTTCCAACCAAACCCCCAATGGATTCCAATATTTTTAGTTCTTTTTTATTTTTTCTCACTTTACAGGATTTGTTAAAATTGTGGATCCTCTTGTTAATATTTTTAATATTTTATATGACAAATTTGCAGGAAGTGATGCAATTCTTCTTGGTGCTGAGACCTTGCGTGGATTGTACCCTGTTGAAACAATATCTATTGTTGGAAAAATTTGTGCTGAGGTATCCTTTAATTATTTAGTATTTAATTTTTTTTGTTGTAAGTTTAATTACTTATATATCACAAAACAAACAAAAAAAGAAAAAATATATGTGTTGACATCTTAATCATTAAATAAGTCATAAGAGATTCTATTCTAAGGTAGGGCATCATATCATATGATGGAATCAGGGAAGGATTGGAATAGTTCTTTCCATTGATGGAATGGAATGGACCACTCTTAAAAGAATCTGATTCCTTTCATTTTGTCAATTTTCATTCCTCAATCATGTATGTTTTTTTTTATCTTTCCTTCCATCATATAACATAATGAAAATTTGCAATATAGCCATTTTTATTTATGTAGTTTTTAATGACAAGTGTTTTTTTTTCTTCAAATTTCATAATTTTAGTTAAATTACAATTTTATTTTTTAAAAATTAACTAGAAAACTTATTGTTTCTTATAATCTTATTGGGGTTTAAATGAGTTTATTTTGTTTAACTTTTATATTTTTGTAAATAAAAAAATTGTTAATAGGCAGAGAAGGTTTTTAACCAAGACCTATACTTCAAGAAGACAGTAAAATATGTTGGAGAACCAATGACTCATTTGGAATCAATTGCCTCTTCTGCGGTATTTTTATAAATATTTCTCATAAACTTTTCACAAATTAATTAGTTTAATTTTAGTAAAAAAAAACTGATCGATATATTCGATTTATTGTTTTTTAGGTTCGTGCAGCTATTAAAGTCAAAGCATCTGTTATTATTTGCTTCACGTCTTCCGGAAGGGCTGCAAGGTATATATTGTCACTGAAAAGTTATTTAGTTAAGAATAAATTTCAAAATTGGTCCCTGTGTTATCCATAAAAATGCAGTTTGAGTCCTTTTTTTTTGACTGAAGGACCAAATCTGCATGGAAGTTTCAATTTTGGACTGATCATACGATTGAAAAAGAATGGACTCAAACAGTCAAACTGAACTTTTTTGGGATACAACAGGGACAAATTTTGCAATTTACATAAATGGTCCCTGTAGTTTACCAAAGTACTTTCCATGCAAGTGAAAAGACGAAAATACCCTCATGAATTCAGTAAAAAGGACCTTCCATGCAAGTTTTGCAAACCACAGGGACCATTTACGTCAAATTTTTTTTACCAGGGACTGAGTTTGTGACCTTAGGTAAACCACAGGGACCATTTATGTAATTTTGTCATAAAACAACTAAAGAGTAAATTGCAAATTCATAGTCTAACAAATTACAATTTCATTATGTTAGTTTTGGAACCTATTTTTGTTTATATCTATTAATTCTTAAAGAAAATCAATAACTTTGATTATGATTCATACATTTTTTTTAAAACTTTTTGTATTCTCCATTATTTTTCATAAGCCATATTTTTATTTTATTTATTTATTTATTTTTTTTATAAAATGCAGATTGATTGCAAAGTATAGGCCAACAATGCCAGTCATATCAGTTGTTATTCCAAGGCTAAAGACTAATCAATTGCGATGGAGTTTCAGTGGTGCTTTTGAGGTACAATTTACTAATTATTATATTATAAAAATTAAAAATTCACATCCCATATTTTCTGTTTATTTTATTGTTATAGAAAACCAAATGAACAAGTTTTCCAGCTTATTTTTTCGATGAAGAGGATGCGAAAAGGGCATTTACGTCTTTTTCACAAATAAGACATCACAAGCAAATTTGTCTCACCCACCTTTTTGGGTGGGACAAAAAATTGCATCCAAAAAGTGGGACAGGGATGCACTCTTGATTTCTTGTCTGTGTAAAAGACGTAAATGCCCTTCTCATCTTTATCATCAAAAATAGTTTATGGGACAGTTTTTTTTTTTTTTTTTTTTTTTTTTTTTTTTTTTTTTTTTTTAATTATATAGAAAAAAGAAGGTTTTTTCTAAAAAAATATTTTTTTTTTGTATAAATATGATTTTACACAACAAACAAAACATATTCGAAATTATTTTTTGAAAAAAAAAATGTAAATCGTAAGAAAATTTTGAAATCTGAGTCAAAAGTGTAAATTTTGGACCAAATTTATAATAAAATTTAAAAGCGGGCAAAAAGTGTAAATTTTGGACCAAATTTGTAACACTTTGTTTATTATGTAAATGAATGGGCAGGCAAGGCAGTCACTTATTGTGAGAGGTCTTTTCCCCATGCTTGCTGATCCTCGACATCCTGTAAGTTTTTCATCATCTTTTTAAGAAAAGACGTAAATGCCCTCACACCATTCTAATCAATGTTCATTTCAGGCGGAATCCACAAGTGCAACAAATGAGTCAGTCCTAAAAGTTGCACTTGACTATGGAAAGACATCAGGGGTAATAAAGTCACATGACCGAGTTGTGGTTTGTCAAAAAGTTGGCGATGCTTCTGTTGTTAAAATTATCGAGCTTGAAGACTAGTAGAATAAATATCTTCCTGCCACGTTTTTTTAAAGGGTATTTTTGTCCTAAATTTTGGAAGTAGGCGTTGGATATATCGCCACCAGCTTTTGAAAACTATATGTTTTTTTATCCATAATGTGATATGAAAAATCCACTTCCTTGTATCAATTTGGGCCTCTTTATACTTTAATAAAAATGATTTTTAATTTTCTTTTTTGTAATAATTAAGAACAAGTAAAACCTTTATTTGCATTTTCAGTTTCTATTTTTCTTATGTTTGTTCGATCAGAACATGTTATACAGAGTTTGAAGTGTATTGTACTTGATGTCAATGAAATAAAACTAAAATAATTTTTGGTGTTCTTTGTGAACCGAAAGTGAAGGGCAAAAATGGCAATTTGGGTTTGGTGTCTGATAAAATCATATACGGGTCACTATGTAAACTCTAAACATGGAATAATTCCATAGAAATTATGAAAATACAATGTCGATTATAGAATCGATTGGAAATCTCCAAAAGCTTGTTTCTTTAAATCTCAATTGGTGCAAAAATCTCAAGAGTCTTCCAAAAAGCATATGCAGTTTACGACTTCTGAAAGATCTTAACCTTCAAAATTGTGGGATAGAGGAATTATCCGAGGATATTGGCGATTTAGAAAGTTTAGAAACTCTAAATTTAAGTTCTACACGTATCAAATGTCTCCCTAAACAACATGTGTACGTTGACACGATTGAAAATTCTACTTCTTACATGTTGTAAAGCTCTAAAGATGTAACCTGAGGATCTTGGCCTATAGAATCGTTGGAGGAACTAAATGTAGCACGTTGCAAGTAGATAAGAGATGTTGGGAGTAGCATCTGTAAGTTGAAACATCTCAGAATTTTAAACCTTCTCAAATGCCACCAACTTGAGAAATTGCCCTAGAAACTAGGAGACTTGGAATGTCTAGAATTGTTGATTGTTTATAGTACGTGCATATATCATCTTCCACAGAGGATTTCTTTATTGAAAGTCCTAAATTTTTTTGCATTTACTTAGGAGATTCATCCATGTGAGATGAATAATAAAACCCAAAGTATTGCGGGAGCTTTGTTCATATTTGGTATTAATCCAAGCCCATCCCTATGAAGCCCACCTATTTAAATGTTGTTTCTGCCCTTATTTTCAGCACAAAATCTCTCTCTCTCTCTCTCTCTCTCTCTCTCTCTCTATATATATATATATATATATATATATATATATATATATATATATATATATATTTGGACCGTGTTAATCACGTAATTTTTTTAATGATTTGGGTTAGAAATAAACATATTTGGGTTTAAAAGTACTCTCATGTTTTGGTTTAAGAAAGAACGCTTTTATTTTTGAGTTGACAAAAATAAGTTGCCATTTTTTAGGTTAACAAAGGTATGCTGCCATTGTTTTGTGTTTTGGGTTAGAAAAGTAGATTGCCTTTTTTTGGTTAAAAAATACATTGCCAAGGTACATTGTTTTCATGTTTTTTGGTTGAAAAACTACGTTGCCATATTTTTAGGTTAACAAATCGTTTGATTTTGGTTCGTAAGGTATGTAATACATGTGAAATTCATTTTAATATTCTTGTTTTGTTATATGGACCGTCCATATATTAATAATTATATTCATTTTTTCTTAAGATTTGAGTTATGGACAAACTTTTTGGGATACCATAAGGACCAATTTGCAATTTACTTTTTAGTTAACAAAATATTTTCAAAATTGAAATCATTGTTTTATAGTTTTGCATTGTCTAAGGGAGGACGTAATCGTTCCTGTCGAAGCCGCTGAAGCAGGTGAAACCGCCACCGGATCCCTCCCAATCCGTCTTCCCCATATTCCTTCTTTGCTTCCAAACTCGATTGGTTTCTTGAACCCGCAACACTTCTCTCTTTCTCTCTTCTCTCCTCTTCCCTGGTCAAACCTCCTCAACTCCACCCCGCTATGATTCCGTCCTCCATAACAAATTACAATTTCATATGTTATTTTTGGAACTTAATAACTTTATATCTATTAATTCTTAAATAAAATCAGTAACTTCATAATGTTAACATAAAATCATCATGGGGCCAATAGTATCACTTTTTCTGTTAGGAAAAAGGAATGAATAAACTTTGACTACATAACTGTAATCTTTACTTACCAAATCATATATGATGCTGCGTTTTACAACATCAAGTTACTGATGCGTTTATGCAACACCAATATACAACCAATTTGTAAATTACAACTTATGTATCTCCGTTTGAAATATAGTAGATATTATCGTCTTAGAATTACTCGTGACTAGATCCATGAAGTAATCTCTAAGCGTGAGTTTATCAAATACTTAAAATCTATATTTCCAAAGTACTCATGAATATTGTAGCAATTCCAATTACAATGTCTTAACCTCAATCGAAAATCTACAATCAATTCATGACAATCTTAATTCACTACTTACTTCTAAAAGTATGAACGACTGTGGAAGTTTGAATTATTCAAATTACTCAGGAAGTAAAAACATGAAAAATGAAACACAAGAATAAATAATCGAATAAGGCAGTACAATACTCATAAATAATTCTCTATTATTCATTCACCAAAACAATTACATTATATTGTTACAAGTTTCAAAATATCACTTAACTACTAAAACTAACATAGTCTCTTAAGCCTATACTCCTAGCATGCTAGTAGTATTTGACTATGCTCAGAGCCTTTGTAAAAGGATATACAACATTATCCTCTGATGATACTCTCTTCACCAGAAAGTGCCCTTCTTCTACCCGATGTCGAATATAATGGTACTTTCTCTCGATATGCTTGGATCTACAATGATCTTTTAGTTCTTTTTTCAAAGCAACCGCACCTTCATTATCACATAAGAGTTCCATGGGTTCTTGAATAGTTGGAACAATTTTGAGATCTCCGATAAAGTTCTTCAGCCAAGCTGCTTCCTTTGATGCTTCACTCGCTGTAATATACTCTGACTCACAGGTGGAATCAGTCACCGTGTCTTGTTTGGAACTTTTCCAAGTAACCGCTCCCTCATTCAATAAGAACACCCATCCAGACTGCGGACAAAAGTTGTCTCAGTCTGTTTGAAAGTTGGCGTCACTGTAGCCACTCACTCTTAACGTATCACTGCCGCCAAGAACTAGGAACCCGTCTTTTAATATTCGTAGATACTTAAGAATATTCTTCACCGTAATATAATGGGCTCCACCAGGATTTCCCTGAAATCGACTAACCATGCTCAAAACATAAGACATATCAGGGCAAGTACATGTCATTGCATACATGATCGATCCTATAGTTGAAGCATATGGGACTCAACTCATGTTTGCTATCTCTTCATCAGTAGTCGAGTTTGAGTCTTACTCAACTTAATAGTACTATGAATGGGTAATTATCCCTTCTTCAAATTTTCCATATTGAAACACATCAATATTTTATCCAAATATGTACTCTGGCTATGACCAATAAGGCAATTCTTTCTATCCCGATGAATCCTGTTTCCAAGAATATAGGCCACTTCCCTTAGATCCTTCATAGCTGAACAGGGACCGGTGAATGCTACGGGCCACCCTGCAGTCTTACAACACTCCCATACTAACTGACCACTAGTGAATGTTACGGGCCACCCCGCAGTCTTATAACACTTCTACACTGCCACTACCGCCACCTGATGCCTTACCGCTACTCTATCTATCCGAATATCATACAAATTTCAACATGCACTTAACCATACTCCCCAACCAAGCATGAATCATGACTGGAACCCCACCTTGGGTGCCTTTCCCGAAGCCTGCTAGCTGACACCAAGAAGACGCGAACCCAATGTTGGGAAGTTTCCGTAACTCCCAACTCATGAAATCCTCAATCCAGACAGCCACTTGGGCCACCCTCCTCCCTGACAGGGATGCGAAACTCACCCTAGTTCCACACCTGCTTCTGATCCTGAATACTCGGGCGATTCTCCCCCACTTTGGTTCGACTAAGTTCTAACAACTCGCGAGAATTGGAGGATTCCCAATCCTTCTTACTCCCTAATAATCAAACCGTTAACAACCTGCACTTACCAAGACTGGTGCTCCATCACTAGCCAAACCCAAAAAGATCGCACAATCTCTAAAGACCAGGTGAATTCTTCCCGAATCCTAGCGAAACTAAAAACCCCGGATGCCTTGAAATGATACCACGCTCGAATATTGAATCTTAACTAACCGACGTTCCGACCAAAACCTCAGCAATAGACCGCTTCCCTTGGCGCTTCCAAAAGCCAACCCAAGCACAACGGCTGAAATTACCGACTCCTGACGATACTGGACAACCAACCCACTGAATCTTGACTGCAAACCTTTTACATAATGCCCCTGAATCGATATCGACCACAACCCAAGATAATACTGAACACTCAAAACCCGCCAAAAAGGGAAACAACCTTTCACTAACCACTAACAATTCACGACATGCGAATGACATATGACATAACTTTGAAGATATAACCCAACATAAGCAGAGAAAACAAACCCAGAGGATACGCTCACCCAACCGATGCAAAATAACAATGTACAGATAGAACCGAAAAGAAGCAAAAGATACATACCCGCAACATTGCCTGCTGGAGTCCTGATCTCCTCTAACTGACACTGCAAGGCCTCAATCCTTTCCGCTGGGGCTCCTGCCCTACCCTCTTCTCCCTCGGTGATCCTCAAAGTAGCCGGAGCAGGCGCACTCACTGCTCCTCCCCTCAACATCGGACATTCGACCTTCTTATGACCCACCTGATTGCAGATGAAACATAACCGCTTGCCCCCTAAGGACAAACCCTGCTGACGTGACCAACCCTGCCACACTTGTAGCAGTCCAAACCTCTGGAACGACAAACTCCATCGTGCAGTTTCCTGCACATGTGACACTGACCCCGACCCTGCTGGCCTCTTAAACGCTGATCAGAAGTCTTGGGTCTCTTCCCGGGACCCTCCAAATCGATCTCCCGTTCTCGGGCACTAGAAACCATACCATTCAGGGTCTCGCACCCTGAAGTACTCACAAACTTCCCGATGTGATCCCGAAGTATATCATGATATCTCACCTTCTTCATTTCCTCATTTGCGGCATACTGCGGTACCAATAAAGCCCTCTCCCTGAACTTGGCGGTAATCTCTGCC